TTTTTTTTTTTTTTTTTTTTTTTTTTTTTGGGTAATTCAATATATATAACTAAAGGTCCTAATTTCAACCGAATTTCTATTTTAGTAATAGTCTGTAACATGTCAAACATAAACATTGTCTATTTATAAATGTTAATTTAAATTATGGTAGTCATTTATGGTTACCATTTTCATTTTATAAATGAAAAAAAATTTAATTCATTATTTTTAGAATGATTTGTATATTTTTAGAAATTATAAATAATAAATATGTAATATACACGCTTAAGACAAATAATCTCTTAAATAAAAGTTTTATATTGACAAATCAACTAAAGCTCGTTAACATTTTTATCTATCCATATTCAAATGTTAATTCGTAATTCATGATCACGTTGATGTCATGTGCTTACCAATACATTATCAAGTTTTTTACTAAATATATTACTTAAAAAAGAAATAGCATCCAATCTTTACTTAATCATCTAATCCTGAACTGAAAAGTAAAACGTTAACTGATAAACAATTTTCCCGATAGTTTTGTTATCATCCAATCATTTTCTTTTAACGTAATTAACTCAATTACTAATGTAAAGATAACGCTACTATTATAGTATAGTTCAGTTGGCCTTTCTATTATCATGTGATGTAATTACATATATATAGTACAGTTAAGATTTGAATCATACATATTATTAAACCTCATTGTTTCAATGGATAAGATGCATTGATGAAGGTATCCTCATAAAATAAATAAATATTGATGAAGGTATCCTCGTTTTCCGTATAAATGAGATCTTTTATAAATATTGGAATTTATTAATACTTTTATAATATTCCAGTCTTCCAATCAAAATCCTAACAAGGATATATATAATTAATATTTATACGTTCGTTCACCCCGCATTATGATTTGCTGAATATATATATATTTATAGTTAACATTTCCGCTCATTATGTTCATTGTCCGACTTTTGATTGGATGATACAAATCAATTCAAAATTATTTATCTCAGCCGCATCTACCTTGGTATAAGATATCCACATTTGAAAATTTTGAGATCCAGATAAATTAGATAACGAGTAATCCGAATAAATAATCCTAGAATGATCCGAATTATCTAAATTATCTTAGAATACAAGATTGGAAATAATTATTTTATACTAATGTCCAGTTTTACTGCACAAGCCAACTTTTTCGTATTGATAATAAATAAATTGATCCAAAGCGTTCAAGTTTGTAATAAATAAAATTTATTCAAGCGCCATAAAAATACATGAATGTAAGTGAAATTATTGGAGAACAATAACAGGGTACGAAATTTCAGGACTTGAAGATTAATATACTGGCTTATATGATCGATACTCTGGAGATAAGTTCTATAGGTTCACCCTAATCATATAATCTATTTTTGCATGTTTACTGCATCCTAAATTATAAAATTTATTTTTTAATGCAATAAAAACACATTCACTGACAATTACATATTCTAAATCATATCTGATATAAATTTATTTTTTTTAGAATATCTGTGCCAGTCCTAGGGTAATCCGTAAAAAATTAACTTGGATAGGATAATCCGGATAAATCCGGGATTTTATCCATTCAAGGAAACTCTAATTTATTTGTCGCCATAGACGAAAAATGAATTATAATTACTATATAATTACTAAAATTGTTAATGACAATAAGAACTGAAAGCTATTCTTAGTATTAGTAATGATTTTCAGAACATCTATCTAAAGAGAAGTAAAAGCTCAATAGATGAAAATTATACGCCCATTTAGCGTAAAATGAAATATTAGCTAAGTGATCCTGAGCTCATCTATATCTTTAAAGCTGTTCATAGTGTCTAAATTCAACCATCTTCGGGAAGTATTTCTTTGCGGACTTTGCCATGCATATAATAAATAAATCTTATGGATACTATTTTTATTAAGAAATAAAATGCATTGATTTAATATGTATAGTATAATTTAAAATTCTTTGAGAATTGAGATAATTGTTTTAAATCTCTCGAATTTGTCATATCTCAGGCTCTCAGCTAATTTTCAAAACATCATAAGTTGCTTTTCGGTTAAACTGATTAATATGTTGTTCATAATTGTAAATTATAATAGAATTATTATTATTCAAGTCTATAAATTTTCGGTTAAAAACAAGGAGCCTGATAGTCCTAGTATCAATGTCTATAACTATAATTGATATACAAATAATAGTTTTACCTATTGAACTTAAGAATAATGAACCATAACAAAAGGAAATAAATTAATACGCCATGAAAATCAATAGATTATACTTTATGTTGGTTTAATAACTTATTGTTATAAAAAAAGTTTTACAAACTAATAAAAACTTTTTCACATTAGCTGTTAAAAAATGTGGTTTCAGCCTAACAGCGATGAAATTCAACGAAAAATTGGAGCGTTGGATTTAATCCATATCCCATAATATTTGATAATCTTTAGCATAAACAATTCCCTTCTTCAGCTTCGGATGAATTATCATCATGTACAACAGGAAATCTGAATGAATGTTTTTTTTATTTGTAAAAAAAGAAATACTTTTAATAAGGTTTACTTGCTTCAACGATACATTTTGATTTAAATTCGATATATGCAATTAAAAAAACGATATACTTAAAAGAAATTTTACACCGAGTCCTGTATAATATTTATCAAACTGTTCTTGTGAAATATGGCAGGTTGATAACGAATCATTTTACTGAAACATTTATCGTGTTGGAAAATAATAGATACGGCCGCCATACGGGAATATTTTTGAATTTTTAATATGGATTATTTCCTATTAAAATGTAATCAAAATAAAGATGAATTAATGATTCAGTTAGGTAATTTACTGCCCATGCATCGTGTTCTAATATACTGTAAATAACTTACTTGAAATCTAAGATAAAAAAAAATTGTTATTAGACTGAACAACATAGCTGTTTGTTTTTTTTAACCGATTACTGATAATTCGCTAATAATATTCTGCAATATAAACAAAACTGTGATAAGTTGTCTCTGTAACTGGCATTAGAAACGTAAATCACTTTTTCGATCGATCCTTAGTGCAGTGGATGTGACGATAAAAGAAACCAAAAATGAATCTTATAGTGGGGTTGCACCAATATGGTAGTTGTGGTGGAACCAGTAAACGTTAGTTGTACACTAGTTGTACATCCCCTTCTAAATAACGAGCGCTCGCATTGCTAGTTTGATGTACAATTTATTCTTAAGTATTTATGCATGTATGTAGATTCTTTTGAGCATACATTAACCTTGATCTGTTGATCGCATTGTTTATACTTCGCGACAGCATACATAAGTTTTGAAAAGTTTCGGAAATTCGTTTTTTTGCATCGGAACATGTGGCCGGTTATATTAGATACGTTAACGCGCATTTCTTTAGAGGGCAAAGTTTGATTATAATCGTGCGTACACTATTTGGAATAATCAAAAAAAGACTTTGTATTATATAAATGATTATTGAAATAAAAGGAATATTGAATTATTGAAAAATGTATGTCTTTTATATTAATAAATTCCCGACATTGATAAAATTTACCGGAAATCTGTCCGAAAAAAAATCCCGAGTTTAAAATTTTCGGATTTTGAACGCTACTTCGCGAAGCAAGAAAAATATAGTGTTTTATTTGCTTTTACTATGAAAGAGCATCAATTATTAACTTATTTACGAGTGTAACTTTTGAAAAACCTTTATATAAATGGCGGAAGCTTTATAAAACTACATTCCCTATAGATACACTTTTATAATGCTAAAATGCTAAATGCGCACTCTCTAAATGTATATTTATCACCAGGTCCTGAAGGGCAATGCGAAGTTGATTGTAATAAAGAAATTATTGATGCGACACTTAAAAAACTTTAAATTTAAAGTAGTTTGTACATTACAAAAATACGAACAAAAGAGTGAACGAAAGTGAATGTTGTCCCAGTATCACGTGAACTTGTAACATCTCTTGGCAAGATTAAATGTCGCGATGTATAGTTAGGTTGATTCCGTAAGAAATTACATAAATGTTTTCTTATGTATGACATACTTTGTGTTATTATAAATAATTGGATTACTTGAGTGTAAATGAAACGCTATAAACAGGAAATATAAATGAAAATCCAAGATCATATCGCTATGAAAATATGAAAAAGTGAAATTGTACTTTATGTTGGTTCAATGGCTTTATTATTATTTTAAAAGCTTTATAAACGTGCAAAATTATCTGTTAAAGATTGATTTCAACCTAACAACGAAGAAATTTCAACGAAACATTGGAGCTTTTATGTGAAGTATTTACAAGTTGTATGACTCTCAAGTGAAATTTAAATCATCTTCCATAATACTAAATGATTTTGTGGCATAAACAATTCGTGCATTATCACAACAATACTCACAAAATAAAGTTTGTATATTATTATGCATAAAGGAGTTAGAACGCCTTCATGAATTATGACATATAAAAAAGTTCTTAGGTGATTTAGGTCGTATATTGAATAAAGTAGTCACGTAATTGCAATTCGTTAACTTCTACTGCGCTATATCCTAACTTCGAGTAGATAATGATCTTCACATGTTCATTATTTTGAAATGAATGAAGAGAAAAAAGGAAATTTGAATGGATATGATTATAATAGAATAATAACTGAATATCTCTGTTTTTATTTATTTGAAAGAAAGAAACGCTTTTTTTAATTGGTGAACAGGGGGATCATTTTTTAATATTTTCAAGAAAAGGAAATTTATGAAAGGGAATTAAATATTTCACAAAAAAAACTTGAAATATAAAAAAGTTAAATTAAAAAATATTTTTTTTTTAAAAAAAAAGTATATATATATTTATTTATTAGGTTGAATTCTTTTTTTTTTCGAATTAATTTTTTTCTTCATAAAGAAAAAAAATAAAATAAATAAATAAAAAATCATGATATCAAATAGTCAAATCTTGGCCGCAGCAATTTCGGCAGTTTCAAAAAAATCTGTTATTTCTTATGAGGATTATACTAGTCGTAAACTTGGAAATATTTCTTATCTTGAATTAGATCAAAAAGTACTTCATCAGGCTCATTTAGTTGGTGGACCTGTACCAAATTTTGAAGATGAAGACTTAGATGATGATAATGTTGAATTTGTTATACCAGAAATGATTTCAAATATTACTCACGTTCCAGATGTTCTTTTATTCAACCAAAATGTTATTCAATCTCTCATTGATAATAATAATGATCCTACTCAACCTCTTGTTCCTCCACCTTCTTCCAATCCTCCACTTTCAACCATGACAGTCTATGCAAGAACTTTGACCGGGACAACAATACCTTTATGTCTAAACAAATCTAACAAAATTTCTGATATTAAACAGATGATTCAAACGAGAGAAGGTATACCTCCAGATCAACAACGTTTGCTTATGGCCGGTAAACAACTTGAAGATGATCGCACTTTAGAAGATTATAATATACAACATGAATCTACTGTACATTTAGTATTAAGATTAAGAGGTGGTGGCGATTCCCGTCTTTTTATTCATTCTCATCATCTTGATTCAATATATGATTATGATTTTACGAATGTTGATGATAATGGAGTGACTTTTATGCGTGGAGATTTTGAATATAAACGTCCTTGTGGATGGAATAGAATTGCTCTTAACGTTCTCGACAAATATTCGAATAATAGTTGGCTTGGAGTAGGCGGTAAAAGAAGATATGCTACTGATTCTGTAAGGGATGAATGGCCAGGTACTTACGTAATTTATTAATATAATTATTATTATTTATTATTAATTATTAATTATTTATATTTATTTAGTCTCTTATCATGGAACTGCTAAATATAATTGTAATTCTATTGCTGATGATGGATATCTTCTAAGTAGAGGAAAACGTTTCATGTTTGGTCATGGAATTTATTCTACTCCCGATATCGATGTAGCTAGTAAATATGCTACTAAATTCACTTATGAAGATAAAAATTATAAAGTTGTCTTTCAAAATAGGGTTAACCCCAATAATTTGATTAGAGTTACTAAAGAAGAAAATGGTGTTGGTGAATATTGGATTAATCCTAATAGCGAAGATTTACGTCCTTACGGTATTTGTATCAAAAGAATTGATTAATCTGTATTATCTTATTATTGTATTTATATTTTTAAAAAATTTTTCTTCACATATAAACTATTGACTACATTAACTATTGACTATTTGATTTTAACATAATAATGTATATTCTCGCCAAATACTTAATAAGTTGAAATTGTGTAATCCGCTTTTTGTTTACTGCATGTGCTTATTTAATATTTGATAATCTTTATCATAAATAGATTATCAAGACGAGTACAAATGTTAAATAAATTATATTATTCAGTTCTGTAAACTAATCCGTATTTTTCAGGTTCCAATAATTCATCTGCAACGCCTTTAGTGACCTTATGTAATTCATTTTTTACCTCCGCTTTATCTTTACCTGATAATTCTAAATAATATTTTATTTTCGGCTCAGTCCCACTTAAGAAGAAAAGTAAACATACAAATATTTAGATAATATAAATATATTTTTTTGAAAAAAGGTAATAAAAAAGTTATGTTTATATTACCTTGTTCTTAATGTTAAAATACAACCATTTTCAAGCCCAAAAGTTATCATATGAGAACTTTTAGATATAGGTAAAATAGCCTTACTATCAGGTTTACTTGTATCATATCCAATTGTTAAATCTCTAATATATGTAATTTTATATCCTGCTAATGTTGAAGGATATGATAATTGATATGTATATGGATACTAAAAATAAAATAGTTACGTTAGAATTGTCTCATATTACAATATTAGCGACTAGGAGGTTCCTTTTACTTACATTAAGTTCCGATGATTTTATCTAATAGAAATGGAAACTTGATTAAATTTTTTTTTTTAAAAAAAAAAAAAAATGAAATCACTACTGATTATGTTATTAAACTTACCGGATTTTCACCATATCGAATTTTATTAAAAATTTTGTCAATGGTTTGCGGTGAATAACAAATAAAATAAGAATTGTCGCTAACAAAATATCCATACCTGAAAAAAAAACAATTCATTAAAAAAATTTCAAAATTATTTTCTATAATAATAAATATAACGTTAACATACTTATTATATAATTCTTCCAAATATTCTGAAACCGTTAATCCACGTTTATCCAATTGTACAGTTAATTCCGCAAATGTAACTAGTGCACTAACTCCATCTTTGTCTTTTACAATATTTCCAATCATAAATCCGATAGCTTCTTCATATGCAAACAAGACTTCATAACCTTGTTGATTTAAATCAATTGCTTTATTTCCTAACCATTTAAATCCTGTTAACGTTTCTTCAAAATAAAATCCTTCAACCTTGGCCATTTTTTCCAACATCTTTGACGATACTGTACTTGCCAACATAGCAAGTTTATCTATAATTATAAATGAAGTGAGTAATAATAATAAAGAATATTGCATAAAAAAATTAATGATAAATTTTATCATACTAATAGGTTTCCCTTGAGCATTATAATTTTCTAAAACTGCAGATGCTAAAATTATTCCAATTTGATTTCCTGAAAATATATTCCATTCCCCACTGAAAGAAATCAACGAAACATTAATTTTAATTCTACGTATTATTATTCAATAAAAATAAACAAATAAACCCACTTTTTTTGCTTTTCAGATACGGAAAATCTATCCGCGTCAGGATCATTAGCAAATATAATTCTAGCACCATTTTCATCTGCTGTTTTTATAGCCAATGCCTAGTTACAATAACTTGATAAATTAAAACAAATGGTTTAGAAATAAATTATTCAATGTATTATACATACCAATGCACCTATATTACGTTGAAAAAAAATATTAATAAAATGTTTCTCAGTAATAAAAAAAAGTATTTTTTTCATTTATATGAATAATTTCTTAAAAACCTTTTCCTTCCTCTGGATTTGGAAATGCAACGGTAGGGAAATCGGGATCAGGTTCCTCCTGTTCCTTTGTTGAAAGGAATGGATTAAATGAAAATACTTCAAATGCTCGTTTAGCCACTTGTGTTCCTACTCCATGCATCGCTGTATATACAAATTTAATCTTAGATGAAGCATTATCTTCCCTGTTTTTTAAAAAAATTAGATTAAATTAAATAAATTTGAAATAAATTCATTATACTGTACTAATAAATTATACCTATGATGTGATAATTCTTTCAATTCTTCAAAATAAAAATCTGAAATTTCTTTTACATTATCAACACATAACGAGTTATTGTCAACAAGATCTGCATCCCATGTCCATGGCTCAAGATACTTTAAAATCGATTTAGCGATTCCTTTGTCATGTGGTGAGATAATCTACGTTTAAATCAAGAAAAATATTTGTGATTATTATTCAGAAGATTTAGCATACATTTATTTATTTATTTTATTTCATTTTTTTTACCTGACAACCATTTTCCAAATATCTTATTGTAATTTTAAAAATAGAAAAATTTAATTATCCATAGTTATTAAATTTAATAATGTCAATTGATAGAATTGATACTTACACTTTATATCCATTATCTTGTTTAGGATTCTATAAAATTATAAATTAAATAATTAATTTTAATTATTTAAGTAATCAAAATAAATAACAATATTTACATGAGAAGCTGTTATCATGATGCCACATGATGCTCCAAGTCTCTTGACACCAAATGGCTAAACAAATATAAATGTATTTTTTAGTAAATTTAATATTATATATATATATATATATTTTTGAAATAATCATACATACCACTAATGGAGTATGAACTAATCCACGATAGAAATAAACTGTGAATCCTTTAGTTATGAATATTGCTGCCGTCAACCTTGCAAATCTTTCAGAATTATGTCTATGATCATGTCCAATAACAACCCCTTTAGAGACTGATGCTGGTAATGTATCAAGAAGATACATGCATAATCCCTATAATTTAAATAAATAATAAATAAATATATTAATAGAAAAGGAACTGTGATCAGAAGTTTTACCTGGGAAGCTTGAATTACTGTAAGATCATTCATTCTAGAAAATCCGGCTTCCATATTTGATCTTAAACCTATAAACCATTTCTAAAGTTATTAGCAAATATTATTATTTTAATTTCCTCTTTAGAAGTACCAAGTACGTACCCGCAGTTCCAAATGATATTCTATTACGAAGTCGTTTTTCTAATTCATCTATATTCTGATCTGCATAAAGTTTTTCAATTTCTGACCTGGTTGTTGGATTCTTAGAACAAAAAATCGTTAATTTTTTTTAAAAAAAACAAAAATCCTTTTTAAAATGAAAATTAATAACGATTTGAGAATATACCTTATCCAAACGAAGCCATTCTTGAACAAGTAAATCAATTGAAGTCATTATCAAAAAAAAAAAAATTTTCAAGAGGAAAATGATAGTTGATCAAGTTGATCAATGGCAGAAAACAACGTAAATTTATAATTGTTGATCAAAAATTTGAATATCTATATATGTTTAAAGTGTATCTAAATTTAGTTTTCCGAAATCGTAATGATTTAATTTGCTTAATTTCTTTTTATCTAAGAATCTATTGTCGCAAAAAAAAATTACATTTATTTTCATATTGTTACTTTTTAGGTTTTAGATAATAGGAACTATAGGAAAAACCTAAAATTTATGAATACCGAGTAATAATATTTCGTTAAATCATTTGCAAGATCGAAATTCCAATATTTTATACGATTATCGAAAAAAAATATATATTATTAGAATATTTTATAATAAGTTTTTTTTACATTAAAACAATCCTCAATGCGTAAAGACGATTGATAATTAGCTATCATCCTTTAAAGGAATATTTGTAATAAAAATGTGTTGTATGTCCCATGAGTTATGATTCTAACGAAAATGCTAGTAGTAATGTACAAATTGTGACTCAAATTGTGACACGTGTCCTTATAAATGGATCTACATAGATTTCCCGATAAATAACGACTACGAAAAATCTATCAATCAACATCTAATCATGGAATACTTGGAAGGCGTTGTCGTTTCTAATTTACCTCAAACTACTAAGAGTGATAAAAAAGCCAAGAAATCACAGAAATCACAAAAAGGAGTTTCCGATAATGGATACCCATTGGAGGTATAATAAAGTTATATTTGTTTCGAGAGAATAATGTATCATGAAATAACGATAAATTTTTTCATTAGCTTGACCCTCCTCCAGAATATATCGTTCACCGAATCAAATTATTTGAAGAATGGAAAAAAGCTTACGATGAAGAAATTAAAAGTAAGAAATATCATTCTATATTTGATATTTCTTGGATGATAACATTGTGATAAATTCATGAAAAAATATATGTATAGATAGACCACGTGTTCCGATTACTGTAACCTTCCCTGATGGTCGAAAATTAGAGGCAACAGCCTGGGAAACTACTCCCTTGGAAATTGCAAAAAATATTTCCAAATCCTTGTATGAACGTACTGTGATTGCTAAGGTTTGATTTTTTTAAAAAAAATTAATTAAATGTGCTATTCTTTACAATTTATTAATTGATTAATTTATTGGATCAGGTTAATGGCGTTTTATTCGATCTAATTCGACCACTTGAAATTGATTGTACTTTAGAGTTATTGGACTTTGAACATGAAGAAGGTACAATATTAATGAATTGAAATAAATTTCAACAAGTATTAATGTTACTATTATAATTTATTAGGAAAAAAGGTATTTTGGCATTCGAGTGCCCATGTTCTAGGTGAAGCCTGTGAGCGTCATTATGGTTGTAATCTTTGCATTGGTCCACCAATAGAAGAAGGCTTTTATTATGAAATGGGTATCAAAGATCGGTACGAATTGCTAAATGTTTTTTTTAAAGTAAAAAAATTAGAATTTATTATAATTTTATTTTTTATTCAGTGTTGTACACCAAAGTGACTATGAAAACCTCAAAAAAATTGCAACTAAAGCCATAAGCGAAAAACAACCTTTTGAACGTTTAGTTATCTCAAAAGAAAATTTGTTGGAAATGTTCAAGCATAATCAATATAAAGTTCACCTTATAAAATCCAAGATTCAAGATGGAACATCTACCACTGTATATCGTTGTGGTCCACTGATTGATTTATGTATGGGTCCTCATGTTCCTCATACAGGAAGAATCAAAGCATTCGATATCACAAAGGTTTGTAGCTTTAATATATTGATGTTCTAATGTCTAAATTAGAAATTATTGTAACAAATTTTAACAAATTTATTTAGAATTCTGCATCATATTTTCTTGGTGATGCAAATAATGATTCTCTTCAACGTATTTATGGTATTTCTTTCCCAGATAAAAAACAACTGACAGAATATAAGGCATTTGTTGAAGAAGCTGCTAAGCGTTCTCATAGAAAAATTGGTCAGGTGTGAAATTAAATATTAATTATTTAGTATATTTAGTGAGTAAATTTACTAATAATAAATAATCGAATTTAGGAGCAAGAACTTTTCTTTTTTGATGAACTTAGTCCTGGAAGTTGTTTTTTCCTTCCAAATGGAGCTAGAGTTTACAATACTTTAGTTGACTTTATAAAAGTAATATTAAATTTACACTTAAATGAGTTAGTATTTTTATATCACACTAAATTATATACATATACAGACAGAATATCGTAAACGAGGTTATAATGAAGTGATTACTCCTAATATGTATAATACTAAATTATGGGAAAAATCAGGGCATTTACAAAATTACGAGGTTAGTTACACTTTTTATATATTTATTTATTATGTTTGTTTCATTTATTTATTATTCTTTTATAATAATTAGGAAAACATGTTTAGTTTTGAGGTTGAAAAAGAAAAATTTGCACTAAAACCAATGAACTGTCCAGGTCATTGTTTAATGTTTAAACATAGGGATCGATCATATCGAGAATTACCTATTCGACTTGCTGATTTTGGAGTTTTACATCGTAATGAGCTAAGTGGTGCCTTAACAGGTCTTACTCGTGTTAGAAGATTTCAACAAGATGATGCACATATATTCTGCAGACATGATCAAGTATGCTATCTTTTTTTTAAAAATTAAAAAAAAAGTGATAATTACTTATCTCTTTATTATTGAATAGGTGGAGGATGAAATTAAAGGTGTTTTAGAATTTTTGAAATATGTTTATGGTATTTTTGGATTTACTTATCAACTTAAATTGTCTACTCGGCCCGATAAGTATTTGGGTACTATTGAAGTTTGGGATCAAGCTGAAAAGGTATGATTTACCCAATTGGTTTTCCTTAAATACATACAAAGTTATAATTTTAATTTGTTCTGATAATATTAGAAATTAGAAGATTCTTTAAATAAATTTGGTGAGCCTTGGGAACTTAATCCAGGTGACGGGGCATTTTATGGTCCAAAAGTAAGAAATAGCAATATATTTAATAATTGTGATTATTATATTGAAAATTTATGGGATTTTATTATTATTTTTTTTTTAAGATTGATATTACAATATCAGATGCTCTTAAAAGAAAACATCAATGTGCTACTTTACAGCTTGATTTCCAACTGCCAGAACGATTTGACCTAGAATATCGTACTCAAACAGTTAATGATGCTGAGAATACATATGCTCGGCCAATTATGATTCATCGTGCGATATTAGGTTCCGTAGAACGTATGATTGCAATTTTAACAGAAAATTTTGGTGGCAAATGGTAAGTGATAAGGATTTTTTTTATTTGTTTTTATATTAATTATTTCTTATTATTTTAATTATCCAATAATATTTTGTTGTATAAAGGCCATTTTGGCTTTCTCCTCGTCAAGTGATAGTCATACCGGTTGCAAACAGTTTCAGTAGCTATGCTCAAAAAGTTGCTGATGCTTGCTTTGATGCCAAATTATATGTAGAAACTGATTTGGGTGAAAACACTTTAAACAAAAAGATTCGGAATGCGGAAATATCCCAATTTAACTTTATTTTTGGTAATTTATTTTTCAGTATTTTGAAAGATTTTGTACATAGAAAAAAAAATTAACTGTGCCTTTTTTTTAATTCTTTGTTATAAAAGTTGTTGGTGCTGAAGAAGAAGCTACAAATTCTGTAAATATTCGTAATCGAGATGATGCTGGTACAAAAACAAAAGGAGAAACAATCCTTTTAAAAGAAGCTTTGGAAAAATTAGTAAAATTAAAAGATGAAAAAAGATTAAAGAACAGTTTAAATCCAGATGATAATTCAAAATCAAATTAAAAGAAAATCTTATTTGAAATTATTAGTTCATACAAAATTGAATTAATATACTTTCTTTTTTCTAATATTTAGATTTGCAAAATAATAGAAATTCTTTCTATTTATATTATTTGGTTAATAAATATCATTTAAATTATTGCTTTTAATGAAGTTTTTATTTTTTATAAAATAAATAACCATCACATTTTAATATTTAATTTATAATATAATAGTATCTTTTATAATATAAATTTATATATACAGTCCCCTCTCGATATAACGAACCCTAGGTTCCAGCTGATCAGGGCTTCGTTATAAGCAACTTCTTTAACATTATAATTAATTATTCGGTATTGTATAATGAATTCTTCTGTATAGGAATATCGGTTATACAGATCATGTGACTTGTTGATCTGATTACCGATAATTTAACATTTTTTTTAATCTTTTTTTTATAGGGGTGCTTTCTAAACTTCAAAATAGATGCCTAGAATGAGAAGTAAGTGGGAACTGGGGGGGTTTTTTATATTAATTTCGTTTAAAAACATTTACTAATGTTCTTTTTTTATTTTTTTTATTGTAGGAAACTTCCTGGACTTCGAAATGGACGCTTGAGACAAGAAGTAAGTGGGGAACTCGATTTTTTTTATTAATTTCGTTTAAGAACATTTACT